AGATACGGACTTGACCATGAAAACTTAAACTTGGTCACTGATCCATGTAATGAGGACTAGGTCATGGTGAATCCTGTCTGACGGATATAATCCCATATACCAAATATAGTTATCCGAATACTCATAATAAGTGAGAAATTCACATGACAAAATATGTATTTTTTTTCAAGCAGTCGTTGAACCATGAAAATGAGGTCCAGGACAATGGACATATGGCAGACGGCAACTTCGTAACATAAGGTATCTGCATACAAGGTATGAAGCATCCAGGTCTTCTACCCACTGAAATATAAACCTTTATACAAATAGTTTACGCCACCGCCGCCGGATTGTAATCCCTATTTTCGTCGCAGGCGAAAAAAAATCGACTTGTTAATATTCTAAATTATCATTTGCGTAAAAAAATTTAATTATCTCATCACGTAGATTTAAGGTTTACAGTAGTTTTGTTGAACATGTTAAATTTCAAAATATAATTTTCTGCATTCTTTTTATTCCGTAAAGGGACGTACCCTCTATTTCACAAATTTGGGGAAAGGAAATGAATTAACTGCTATGTTATGTTCTGACAAAATGTCTTTGCTATAAAGTGATTTCCATCTATGACTTTTTTTTGTAGATTTTTTTCGTCACTATTTTGCCAATCTGACGTCAAGTCAAAAATGAAGAAAACTTGTGAGAAGGACAGAGAAGTCATAAGCTTTTATATATACTATTGACCGAGGAGAGGGACATACATATAATATGCTGTAAAATATCTTTGCAATTTTCATTTGAATTACAACTTTGAGTTTCATAGAAACTCCGAAATCCGGTTTTGAGTCCTGATAAATTCAGACGACAACACGTTATTTTTATTCAAATCTTGATTTCAATTAAGAAGAGACACATCAAAATTATAATAGATAATAATATTTGGAATGATGTTTTGTTGATGATAAGAAACACCAAACATTTTGTTTTTTATAAGGAAATTTATGTAGTTTTGATATCGAATATACAGTGAAAGACGATCCATATTTTCAAAGTTCGTTGATATCCAAAGAAACATAAATGACCGTATTCCGTCGGCTTCAATAAGTGTCATAGGAGCATATCTTTGGTTTCCATGTTAATTATTAAAATTTAACCATTTATAGAATAAGGTCTATTCATCAAAACGCCCTTGTTCTATGTGTGCTTTGGTCGTCTGCAGGGATAAAAACTTAATTTTCATGGAGAAAGGAAAAGTATTTAGCCACTTTTTAGTCTATAAATATGGATACAGAATGACTTTTGAGACCTATTAATTTTGGATTGTTTGACCTGCATTTGAGCTTTAACCAATTTAAAAGTAGAGTTCAATCGTAATTTTAAGTATTGCTAAGTTTTTATTCACAACAAAGAAGGATAGAGTTGAGAGAACTGTAGTTTAGTTATATTAGTTATCTTTTGCAATCTGTATCCCATATGATATCATGTTTTTAGATTAAATAACGAAATTTACTCCGAAAATATATTGGTATCATAACAGCGCAAAATAGCATTTTATTGTTTAAATTTCCTAAGGTTAAACACTTGTTAATAAATATATATGAATCAAGTTGTATTTTCACAAAGAACAAAACTGATTGGAAAGATAAATTAAAATACATTACGTCAAACGAAAATCTCCCACTTTGCATTTGAAATTAAGATTTCATAAACCTTAAATTATGGAAAAAAGTTATTATTATGGTTTGTATAGATATATAACAAAATATCATAGATTAAATCATGGCAGTGACAAACAATAGTTTAGGATTTTCTGAAAAAATTTTCTTTGTTTCCCAAAATAAGCAATTATAAATGTGAAAAATTACCTACCTGCAAAATTGAAATAAGAATATACAGGATTTAAGAGTTAACTTATAAGATGAATACCGAAGTTGCAATTTGTAAACATTTGTAAATACAATTAACGTAGCCTATTTTGCATGAGAAAAGAAGGAAACAGAAGGTACCAAAAAGGGAAAATCATAAGTCATAAGTCGTAGAGGGCAGGCAAATGCTTAAATTGGTGAAAATTAAACAGACAATACCATGATCACAAATAAAAACCACTAAAAAATAAAGTCCATAGAATATTATATAGAAAATGATAAAGAATCGAACAAACGAACCCTATCAAAGTTCGGATGAACACAGGTTCTCCGGATAGGTAAACAGTTCCATCATCAGAGTCATGTTAAGTGTTGTTCATGGCAAGAAAGTATTCGGTTGTAAGTCGCATTCATAGATGTCATTATCTAAGAAAAGTAGAACAAATTGAGTCTACGACAATTAAAACATATCTGTGACCATCTGTGACACGGGTATTCCGTACCAGTCATCTAAATAGTAATGGCCCACGGGATGACTTCAACTTTACCATTTTGAATATTTGGACATTCAGTAAAATGACTAAATAATTCAATTTGTCTTTGTGTTTATCCAATGGAAACTAAATTAAATCTATTTTATTAAATGTCCTTGGAGTATATTTGTTTTTGGTCAAGTCATCAATACTTTTTTATTATGAGATATGCACATAGAATGATGATTCTGTTTGAAGCTTTGAAGCTTTGAAAAAAATTTGTTGCCAAGTGTTTAACATCATAAGTGTTTTTGAATGAAAATCTAGAATGAGAGTTCATAGTGCCATCAATACACCATCTTGAGATGAATGAGTTACACGAGGTCTATCGGTGTAAATGATTTCATTGAACAATCGGGTCTGGCTGTGACGCAATAAATAAGCATTGTGACATAGGAAATGTACGAGAAAGTACACGAATTCGAAAGTCGTCTATTGTGATTTGTATCAATGACCCCACAGCTTTAACTCATTTTTAGTATAATGGAGTTGAGAGAAACACATATATATATATTTCTCTAATTATTAGTCGATTATAACTTTTTTGACCAGTAGATTATTTTTATTTAATCAACGTGTGGTTCGTTTGATCTAAGTTCTTTATAGGACTTATAGGTCAAAATTCAATTATGACGTCAAATGTTCTTGCTTTCTTCTGAATTTCCTACTGTGACGTCACGAAAAACGGCGACACATAGAAAGAACACATCTTTTTGCAGATAATTGGAAAAGAAGTTTGTCTGCAGATCACAAGAGAAACAGATTCTACCAGTGTATCGTGTGTGGTACGATATTTCTCCACCTGAGACAGTTAAATTTAAATATTTAAAACGCTCGGCTCGCGTTTTAAATTTGAAAATTTAACTGTCTCAAGTTGAGAAATATCGTATCACACTCGATACAGTGGTATAATCTAAATATAACCAGCTGTCAATAATGTAATGTTTAAAAATATTCACTATATTCCGAAAAAAATTGCCCATACCAGTTATTGAGAATTATTGGAACACAAAAATTGTATAAAATTACAGAAAAATTCCATAGTTATACAATTTTAAGATATATATCTCTAATTTGGTAGGTCACATTCGAGGTAGTGAGGACGAGATTGTGATTACGACATTTTGAACATATCCGTCGTCATATAACGGTCAACCAATTCGTGAGGGCGCTTGTACTATTTTCTGAGGGATGATTTCAACTTCACCACTAAGAACTCTTAATTTAACAGTTTCCTTGTGAGCAGCAATCCTTTATCAGGGAAGTCATGATAGGAAATGCAATCTCTGGAATATCGTATGAAGTGGGAGATATATACTTTTTATACTCTTTCTAGATATAAGTGTGTAAATAGTATTGCACGAATAACCAACATGTCAATGCAAGATATTATTTGCGTTCATCAGACAATATTTGTCTCTTCATACCACCTCCACGAACAAATTGTATGAAAAAGACATTTCAATATTCCGTTACTGTTATTTGGAGCAGTATTCCCGTAGAAATAAATAAGCTAGAACATATAGATCAGTTCAAGTAAAAGTATCATAATTTCTTGTTTAAGAACAAAATAACTAATTATAAGATTCATATACAACATGTTAGAACAATAACAGAAATTTATGTATAGTATAAAAATCCATATATTTGTCTTGTGCATCATTAATGGAATATGTTCGTTCATGAAACATAACACTTAATCTATATGTTTTCACCATTTGTTTGCATAGTTAGATGTATGTTATTATATAATATCATATTATATTTTGAGTAATTCAGAGGGTCTCAGGGGAGATTAGTATTGTACTAACTGATGTTACCCTCTTTGAATAAAGTATTTATTATTATCATTATATATTATATATTACTATGCAGGCGCTGCTGGAATGCTGCTACATAGAGATGGAAAGTTCACAATTGGGAAGCTGAAATCAACTCTTTTGTCGTAAGGTAAGTTCTCAACCGATCCTTATTGTCAATTTCTAGATGAATGTCAAGATGTGAGACAGACTTAACTGTATCTGTAGTATACATTATTTCAAGATCGATGGGATAGATATGCGTTCAGCATAGTCACCAAACTTTGAATTATTTCGTGTGAGGACATACTCTTTATGAAAGTGAAGTTAAAGAATAATGCTAGCTTCTTTTCATTCTTCCTTAGCTCCTGTATAGAATCAGCCTCAGATGAATGCAGAAACAAGTCGACAAGAAGAGGAACACCGTTGGTTCCCATGGGAATGCCAATTGTTTGTTGAACAGGTCCTCCAAACATAACAAATATGTTGTCAATCAAGAAATCAAGCATCTTTATACAAAGCACGATTTATCTCTCCCTGAGACAAGATATTTATATCTAGGTGGCCATTATGTTTTATGAAACATGGCAGGACCAGTTCTTTCAATTTGTCCTTTAGTTTGGAATTGGGAATTGGGAATACTTGTGTGAAGGGTAGAAAAGTAAAATGTTTTAATACTATTGTAAGAGGAAAGAGACAAAGGTTGTATGTATTCTACAGATCCTTGGAATTTTTTAGTATCCACATCTTCATTTTAGGCGTAAACCATTGCACATTATAAATATTCATTGCATATCCTTTATAACATATAGTTAACCATTACTAACCGGTGCCTGTAGTTTAGATGACAGCAAAGAAGCGAAGCCTTTCTTAGCTATCAGTACATCGTGATGTTCGCCCGATTCATGGTAAACGCGGCTTATCTCTCCTGATGAGTTAATTTTAAAGGAGAACCTGTAGTGAAACAAAAATTAAACAGAAATAAAACGAGGAAAAGTCTATTCTAAGATTTGAACCAGTTGGCCAGTAAGGAGTGTGTTTTGAAAAAGCTTTAATAAATGCATGTAAGTTACTAGATTTTCAAACCATTCCACAACCTGCGAGTGGAGATAAATGACATGACGCAAAATGAAATAAGTAAATATCATACTGATCAGATCTGAAAAAAATTGGGAAACTGACTTTGTATTGATTTGTTTTGTTTTTTATTATTGCTTATCATAGCATGGATCATAGATCTAGTTTTAACATGTGTAGTTAAATCATATGATATATTCAAATTAATTCTTACTATTTAATCGTGTCATGTATTTTCTTATTGAATCCCATTAATATTGATTTTTAAAACAGATGTGTTATATGAAGAAAAGGTTGATATAAATATGAAAAGAATAGAGTAAAACGAATAAATTAAGGCAATAACTAGTAGAAAATAATGTTAGTCTTACCACTCTGTAAAATCTAAGTTTTCTGATCCTGTACCTGTAAAAAAAGATACTTTTTGTAACCAAATATGCCAATTAATTACATTACAGTAGCTGCAAGTATGTCATAAGTGATAAATGCGATTTGAATATACAAGAGACTCGAGATAATAAATGTAACACTAAATGTAACACTAAATGTAAGAAGTTATCTCAAAGTACATCGCAACTGAAAAATATAAGGTATAAACCAGTATGCCTGCGTTTGCTGGCAATACTTTCTAATATAACTAACATACATCCCCGAGAATTTCATCGATTTGATTCATGTGGACATAATCTATACTCCTATTTTGTCTATGTAAAAGTGCCACTGGATGAATGTTCGAAGATGCCAACTGAGACTTACTAACTCTAAATAAAGGCAATAGTAGTATACCGCTGTATAAACGCTTAAATCTGCTCATAATATAACATTCTACCGAATGAGACTTATCACCGGATGTCACATGTAGAGCAGGATCTGCTTATCCTTCTGGAGCACCTGAGATCACCCCCGATTTTCGGTGGAGTTCGTGTTGCTCAGTCTTTAGTTTTCTATGTTGTATTTTGTATACTGTTGTTTGTCTTTTGGTAGTTTTTCGCTTTTTTTGCCATGGCGTTGTCAGTTTGTTTTTAAATAAAGAGTTTGAATGTTTTTTGGTATCTTTCGCCTCTCTATTCTATCTTCTTTCATATCATAATTTCTTACATAGAACATATATCACATGATTTTTATCAACATCATTAACAAAAATCTTTATATCTATGACCTTTTATAAGCTTCTTCTTATTTATATTAATGATGTTTATTATTTCTATATAAAGTCTATGAACATATATGATAAATCTTGTTTACTTTTACTGTTCCATGAAAATGAAAAAGAGGAAAATTCAGCTGTTACTATTATCATAAAAAACGATTCAAAATTTCATGAAACTCAAAATCAAGCTCACCCTTTCCTTCATGATCCTCAGAGACAAAAGAAAATGTGTAGACCTTCAGCAGAACTTCTTGCAGCTGGTTTGTTTCATTCACTGCTGTGAAACTAATCTGCAAACATATAATAAAATAATCTATTAATTGGGGACAGCAATTTGCATTTACAGGATGTAGGGTAATGTCAGTGAGACAGCAATTCAACGGCACGAAAAAGGCATAACTTAGAGGAGAGAGTTTTTTTGCTCTATCATGAAGACCTCAATGTGACTTTCAGAAGAAGAACAGCAATAAAAGCGCTGTTCCTTTGCTTTTTGTGTTTTTTGCTCTGCTTATACTGATTTTGTGTCATAAATGAATACCCCATATCCTTTCTTTTCTATTAAGACAACACCAAGAGGTCAACATACGACCTTAAACTAAAGGCAAAAGTCCCTTAATCGCATTGTGTCTCGAAAAATTGTAAATAAATAAAAGGCAAAGATCAAAGACCTGCTATCAATATTAAATTTTCTGTGATCAGTTTTAACCTCTCTTATATCTGTCAGGAACTGTAACAGTTTTACCTACAACATATTTTGACAGTTATACCCTAGAAAGAGTCAAAAAGTTCTATTTCAAAAATAGTATGGATCGAGATCTGTATCTGTTTAATTATTTATTTCATCAATTTGTTCAATTTATTTATTTATTTATTTATTTATTTATTTATTTATTCTTTCATTTTTTTTCTGTTCCCTTTTATTCTTTTTCGTTAATTTTTTTTAATCCATATTATTTTAAGCAAAATATCATCTGATATTTGTTGTTTGTTTTCGTGATTATTTATGAAGTGATGGTAATATTTTATTTGTTATTTAGAATAATGACTGTTGTTATTATTAGCGATTGCAAAATCTTAGATTCAAGGTTCAATCTTTTATTAGAGTCTCTCTAATTTTAAATCATAAACATTCAGTACATACAAAGCATATACACAATATAAAACAAACAATCTACTTAGATAAAATAAAAGTGCCATTCGATTTTGATACGATCATGGAGACCATATCATTGAATTTTTCGAAATACTAAGGATTTTCTTTCCCAGGGATATATTACCTAAGCTGTATTTTGCAAAAACTTTCGGATTTTGGGTCCTAAATGCTCTTCAACTACGTCTTTTATTTGGCAATTTTACTTTTTCGATTCGAATGTCACTGATGAGTTTGTTGTAGAAGTAAAGAGGGTCTGACGTAGAAAACCATATAAAAAAATATGCATAAAATGGACGTGATAATTCATCTTCAATCTTATCATTACATATAAATATTACTCCTTCATTTACACCTTTATTCACAACGTCCTGTTTATGTTCTTAACGGAGCTACTCCGCATTTTTATTTTGCAAAAACACTTCTATAGCTGTATGGGATATTTTAACAAACATAATTCATTTCAAAAGTTAACTTTAAACATTTATAAGTTTGTAACGTTTTACCCACATTTTGTACAATGCCCTATCTTTTATCTAATTACTACCACAATTTGATATTAATAAGTATTGTATTTTCATTGTTATTAATAAATGTAATGGCAGTATTACAAATCTATCTTGAATCAATCCTAATCCTATCTTATTTTTGGGAAATATTTTTACAAATTCATATGTGACGTCACTTTGTGTGTTTTTTTAGAATTTCAAATGTGACGTCACTTTGTGCGTTGAGGCTTTAGCTAACTCGGCTGTGTATTTTTATATGTTGGATTAAGTTGTTTTATGTAATGTATCCGTTTTTATTCTGTAGTTAGTCCCCACTTTGGTTTTATCATGTATATCTATTATATAGTCATTTTTTAATATTTACTGTTTGCAAAATTATAAATTATTCTAAATAATAAGGATGTTCTTGTCCCAGGCAGAAAATCCTGGCCGTGTTAGGCGCAACTTTTTGGAGTTTTGGTCCTCGGTGCTCTTCAGCTTTGTACTTTTTTGGCTTTCAAACTTTTTTTTATCTGAGCGTCACTGGTTAGTCTTGTGTGGACGAGACGCACGTCTGGCGTATTGAATTTTAAGCCTAGTACCTTCTGCTAGCTATCATTCGTGCGTTTCTTTGTCCTATATGTTCTCCCATTTATTTGTATTGTGGTCCTGTCATGTGATGTTGTCGTTTTGGTGTTGTGTTTGACGTTGCCATAAAAGCGGGAGGTTTGGCATGCCACAAAACCAGTTTCAACCCACCATTTTTTTCTTAAAATGTCCTGTACCAAGTCATCCAAAAATTTCATGCAGAAAAGAACACATTTCTCATTTATGTATAGCTCTGATGTATATATCTTTTTAGTTTTAACAAATAATGTAACTTATTGTTTATGATAATTCTGTTTATAGTCTCTCATAATTCTTAATAGAAAGGCATTTAATAAATTGAGTGAAAGGTTCTCTCATGTTTAAATGGAAAAAGGAACGGAAAACCAATTATTTTCCCCATAAGTTCAATGCACTCTCATCATAATTGAAAGGGAGATTTTTTGGTTCCGTATTATAAACTGCCAAATTTCAATAGCTTTCTCATATTTGTAGCCCCTTCATGGTTTTATGGGATAATTCATGAAGGGTCATGGTCGGAAATTAAGAGAGCAATTTTGTTTTTAGTTTTAATATGGTCATTTCAATCTCTCTCTGGTTAACATCGAAAATGAAATTTGGACCATTTACTCAGATAACCATCCACCATATACATTTCAAAATCATACACAATTTTATAAAAAAAAATTAAAGTTTAATGAAAACTCTTTGAATATACTAATAATTTCTACAGCCAAATTCCACCCAAACCAACAATTTATATCTATGTAAGAGTTCAGTAATGGTTCTAAGTAATTAGTGATTACCTGTGATACAGACATTACGTTCACTAAAAATCTATAACATCAGTAAAGACACGGAATAGCGAACGAGCATAAACAACGTAAGATGGAGCCAAAGGAACACAAATTTTTGATCATTTAACGAATAAATATCATCAAATAACGGTAATTTTTATTGGTCAATACTGAATTTGACCATAAACTGTCATTCATAATAATACAGGAACAATTCTGCTATCAATTGGTGCCCATAAAAATGCCTACAAACTGTCGATAAACGTTATTGCCGATTCGGACATAGATGTTGTCAAGAAAACAATTCACAGCTTCAATTCTCTTATTACACTAATAGTAAGTAATCTAAGCATATTTACCGTTCTCTATCGATTTATGAGTTTTGAACAGCGGTATACTACTGTTGCCTTTATTTCCAGTTTTCTATGTGTTTATATAGATTAAAACATCTTCTATTTGTAAAATATCTTTTTGTAAGCACAACATTATCTAAATTAGTATAAAAGTCAAAACCATACTCTTTAAACTTTGTATCAATTCCAAAGCACTAATTTCTAATGTAATTAATCGCATTTCTGTGACACCATTTAAATGTTCTATAATTCAGTCTTTCTGTACACATTATATTGCATCAAGCCCAGTGTCTAAAAACTCAAGTTCACAGCTTAAAACTTGGTGGACTCCAACCTATATTAGGGCTTCGGTGGTCGAGTGATCTAATTTGTCGAACCATTCAACACTGAGGTTGTAATTTCGAATACCGCACCTTGCAGGCGTGCTCGACTCCAATCTTAATTGACTAGGATTGTTAGTTTTCCTACGGAAGGTCGGTGGTTCTATCCGGGCACTCCGGCGCTCTCCGCCACGAAATATCATAATAGTGCTAAAAGTGGCGTTAAACACCAATCAATCAATCAATCTCCAACCGTTTTCCCCATACATAGTAAAACTAAACCACATATATATGATTGCACAAGATTGTTTAATGTCAGGTAAACACTGGTATAAACACTTCCCGAGAAAATGATATGGTCAATATGTGTCATCCAAAAATTTCATGCAGAAAGAACACATTTCTCATGTATGTATAGTTCTGATGTATATATCTTTTTAGTTTTAACAAATAATGTAACTTATTGTTTATGATAATTCTGTTAATAGTCTCTCATAATTCTTAATAGAAAGGCATTTAATAAATTGAGTGAAAGGTTCTCTCAAGTTTAAATGGAAAAAGTAACGGAAAACCAATTATTTTCCCCATAAGTTCAATGCACTCTCATCATAATTGAAAGGGAGATTTTTTGGTTCCGTATTATAAACTGCCAAATTTCAATAGCTTTCTCATATTTGTAGCCCCTTCATGGTTTTATGGGATAATTCATGAAGGGTCATGGTCGGAAATTAAGAGAGCAATTTTGTTTTTAGTTTTAATATGGTCAATTCAATCTCTCTCTGGTTAACATCGAAAATGAAATTTGGACCATTTACTCAGATAACCATCCACCATACACATTTCAAAATCATACACAATTTTATAAAAAAAATTTGAAGTTTAATGAAAACTCTTTGAATATACTAATAATTTCTACAGCCAAACTTCCACCCAAACCAACTATTTATATCTATGTAAGAGTTAAGTAATGGTTCTAAGTAATTAGTGATTACCTGTGATACAGACATTACGTTCACTAAAAATCTATAACATCAGTAAAGACACGGAATAGCGAACGAGCATAAACAACGTAAGATGAAGCCAAAGGAACACACATTTTTGATCATTTAACGAATAAATATCATCAAATAACGGTAATTTTTATTGGTCAATACTGAATTTGACCATAAACTGTCATTCATAATAATACAGGAACAATTCTGCTATCAATTGGTGCCCATAAAAATGCCTACAAACTGTCGATAAACGTTATTGCCGATTCGGACATAGATGTTGTCAAGAAAACAATTCACAGCTTCAATTCTCTTATTACACTAACAGTAAGTAATCTAAGCATATTTACCGTTCTCTATCGATTTATGAGTTTTGAACAGCGGCATACTACTGTTGCCTTTATTTCCAGTTTTCTATGTGTTTATATAGAATAAAACATCTTCTATTTGTAAAATATCTTTTTGTAAGCACAACATTATCTAAATTAGTATAAAAGTCAAAACCATACTCTTTAAACTTTGTATCAATTCCAAAGCACTAATTTCTAATGTAATTAATCGCATTTCTGTGACACCATTTAAAT